GGCAAAATGGGGGAAAATGGGATTTTTGGGAAAAAATGGGGGGAAGTGGGATTTTTAGAAAAAACATGGTTGAAAATGTGATTTTTGGGGAAAACAAGGGGGCAAATGGGATTTTTGGTGAAAAAATGGGGGAAAAATGGGATTTTGGGGAAAACACGGGGGAAAATGGGATTTTTGGGATAAATGGGGAAAATGGGATTTTGGGGGAAAATGGGGGGAAAATGGGATTTTTGGGGCAAGTATGGAGGAAGAATGCGAATTTTGGGAAAAACATGGTGGAAAAATGGGATTTTGAGGAAAAAATGGGGGGGAAATTGGATTTTGAGGAAAAAATGGGGGGAAATGGGTTTTTTGGAAAACACATTGGGGGAAAATGGGATTTATGAGGAAAACATGGCAGGGGAAGTTTGATTTTTGGGGAAATAAGGGGGAAATGGCAATTTTGGGTAAAACATGGAGGGAGAATGGGATTTCTGGGGAAAATTGGGGGGAAATGGGATTTCTGGGAAAAAGTTGGGGAAATGGGATTTTGGTGGAAAACATTGGGGGAAATGGGATTTGTGGAAAAAAGATGGCAGAAAATGGTATTTTGAGGGAAACGTAGGGGGAAAATGTGATTTTTTTGGGAAAAAATGGCGGGAAAGTCGGATTTTGTTGAAAAAATGGGGGTGAATGGCAATTTTAGGGGAAAAACTGGGGGAAATAACAATTTTTTGGAATAAATAGGGGGAAATGTGATTTTTTGGGAAAACATGGGGAAAATTGGATTTTTGTTAAAAAATGGGGGAAATCGGAGTTTGGGGAAAACAGAGGGAAAATGGGACATTGAGTAAAAAATGGGGGGAAAATGGGGTTTTTGGAAAACACACTGGGGAAAAATGGGATTTATGAGGAAAACATGGCAGGGGAAACGTTATTTTTGGGGAAAAAAGGGGGAAAATGGCAATTTTGGAGAAAATGAGATTACTGGGGAAAAATGGGGGGAAATGGGATTTTTGGGGAAAAAATGGTGGAAAATGGGCTTTTGGAGAAAAAAGTGGGAAAATGGTTTTTTTTGGGGAAACAGGGGGGAAAATAGGATTTTTGGGGGGAAAACATGTGTGGGAAATGGGATTTTTGGTGAAAACATGGGGGGAAAATGGGGGTTTTGGGGGAAATCATGAGGGGAAATGGGATTTTTAGGAAAAACATTGCGAGGAATTGGGATTTTGGGAGAAAACATTGGGCGAAATGGGGTTTTTTGGGAAAACATTGGGGAAAATGGGATTTTATGAAAAAACATGGGGGAAAATGGGATTTGTGAAAAAAGATGGCAGAAAATGGCATTTTAAGGGAAAAGTAGGAGAAAAATGTGATTTTTTTTGTGGAAAAAAATAGCGGGAAAGTAGGATTTAGGTGAAAAAATGGCGGGGATGGCAATTTTGGGGAAAACATGGAGGGAGAATGGGATTTCTGGAGAAAAATGGGGGGAAATGCGATTTTGGTGAAAAAATGGGGGAAATGAGATTTTTCGGCAAAACTTGGGGGAAAATGGCTTCTCTACTGGACTGCATCTTAGCGAAAAGCTTTGCCAGTGTGTCTCGCAGGGAGAAAGCTTAACAGCGCAGCGCACTTCTCCCACCCTTGCCCAGAAACACCGATTTGCTGCACAATTCCAAAACACTGCTCTTTCCTGGGCAAGCTCCAAGCTGCTGTCTGATGGCTCTGCTCTCTGCCTGCTCCTGCTCAGCTCCTTGTGGTAGCGTGCACATGCCGTTCTGGCATTCAGTGTACAGTGCAGGGAATTGCAAAAGTCCAGTAGCTGCAGACTCCCAAACACAAGGCGCTGTCTATGTTCTTGCTTCTCAACAACTCAACGCAGCCTTTCTTTTCTGCAGCTGCCATCGAGGTCTCTGCATCTCGAAGCCTGAGGGGATGAGCACGAATTTCCCAGGAGGGGAATTGGTCCTGACGCAGTTTAGAGGAAGCAAAATTAGGTAAACTGGATGTATGCTGTGAATGGTAATCCACAGGTCCATGTGAGACCAATCTCCATACCTAACAATCTGGATTTTGATTTTATTTAAAATATTTCTTAAGAAATTTAAATTGTGCTTATACATATACCTTTTCTACCACTGTCAAGCAGTAATCTACAGTATTTTGAGACACAATATGTAATAGATTACATGAGTCTTTATTGAGAGCTAAAGAGTTAATTAAAAAAGGATATTTGGAGTGAGACTATGGAGTAATTTTAATTTACAGGCAAACAAATCTGCAGTTAACAACCACAAAAATTGTAGCAATAAACAATTAACAGTTACCTCTTTAACCCATTAGCACATTGCTAATTTCAGAGTTGAACCCTGAGGTAATGGGCCATTCCAGCTACTTACTCTCTGCAACAAAGAGGAGTGATGTCAAAGAGTTAATGAACTGAAGATAAAGACTGTGCCACTAAAACTTGAAGGAAAAGGATATTTCGTGTTTGTGTGTGTGTGTGTGTGTGTGTGTGTGT